TTTTCCCTTGATACACTATGCGTCTAGGTTATGATTTTATCATTAAGTCTGTCCTGCAGCTCCAAGGTGGAGTGATGCCACATTTCTATGCCCCCACAATGTGACCTAAAAATCGTCATCCAGTGGTGTCATCTTAATAAGCACTATGTTGAAGTTAAGAAAGAAAGAAAAAAAACAGTTACAAATCATTGGCTGTAAACAGATACAGCCTCAATGTTAAGGGAGTGTTTATAGTTTTCCAGAGATGCTGCTGCCTCTGTTTTTATAATTTTGTTTTGTTTGGCTTAGCCATAAAGGTAATCCTCCATCTGCCTTCCTCCCCGCTCCTGTAGGTCTGATAACTCTGGAGGAGCTACATCAACAGGTGTTAAAAGGAAGGGGCAAATTCGCACAGGACGTCAGCCAGTAGGTCTTGCCTCCCAATCCCTGGAGTATAGAAAGGTCTTTAAAAATCAGAAAGGTCTTCTCCTTACTGCTCACATGTCTAGGCTACTTTAGGAATAATTTTTATTCTTTATCATCAGAAAACATATTTTTTAGAAAACTGAAAATACAGAGAGAGATAAAGAATAAAAAACCACCCATTATTTCTCAACTAAGAGATTAGAGCTGTTAACATTTTGGTGTATTCTGAGCATTTTTTTTCATGTGTATTACTATTTTGTAACATACTTGGGGCTTAATCTTGAGATTATCTTAGGTTGGAGACTAGCACACGTGCTGAGGAAGGCTGGGGAACAGTTGGGCTCAGAAGGTGACGTGTTAGTTGATCTGGTTCACCAGCTTCTCTGTGTGACCTCAATTTGAGAAAAGGTGAAAAAAAAAAAAAAGGCTGTCAGTATGTGAGCTGGGTATATGGTCTACACATTTTGTGGACTTTCTTTTTCCCTAATTTGAGTTAGTTGTTAACCGGAAGCCAGAAAATCTGGCATGACTGGGCCTGACTTTCCAAATGGCAGTAATCAGCTGGGTTGCCCTCTGTAAAATGGAGAAACCTTTTCTGTTTTGCCACTGTTCATGCAGCTCCCTTTGTCTCCTGCGTTCAGCTCATTCATTCACATTTCCTGATGGGCTCCCATGGGCATATTTTTGACCTCTGTCCGGGGTTAGCGTGGTTTGCTGAGTGGAGAGCCCCATACCTGTACTTTCTCCCTTGCTTGTCCAAGCACTGCCTGGTGCCCCCTGGCCCCGCCTTTTCACGGACGGCACTGACTGTTACGCAGCCTTTTAGTCTTCTGTCAGGGTGTCCTGGCCGGGGCAGAGCTGAGACTGCAGGGTGGCTAGGTGTGGTCTGCCAGAGGTCCTGAAGCCGCTCTTCCTCACTTCAGAGATGACCTGATCAGAGCCATCAAGAAGCTGAAGGCGCTCGGTACTGGCTTCGGCATCATCCCCGTGGGTGGCACCTACCTCATTCAGTCTGTTCCAGCTGAGCTCAACATGGATCACACAGTGGTGCTGCAGCTGGCGGAGGTACTGGTGTGCCTTTCTGGCCGGGGGTGGGGCGACAGTCGGGATTGTCGGGAGGAGGGACTTCGGGAGCAGCTCTGACCTCCTCCCCGTCGAACAGGTCTTCTGCTGAGCCTGTCTAGGCGACGCACTACTCAGAGCTGTGCTTGTTTAGAAGACATTTATTGAGCAGCTACAGTGCAGAGCACCGGGCCAGGCTGTGGGGGTAGACGAGGGGCACCAGAGATCCTGCTCTCAGGGAGCTTACAGTCTAGTGGAGGAGACAGAGATGCAGACAGTGAGCTGTATTTTCTTGGGTAGACAGATTAGTTGAGGTCTTACTACTACTTTATGAATGGATTCTTCAAAACAGTGTTTAATCTGGTTTGGCATTCCCATTCCGTAAGTATACCGCACCCCACTCCTACCCACCCCGAGTCTGTTCCTGGATTTAGGGAAGACATATTAAGTTTTCCTAATTCTCTATAATGTAGAACAAAACTAATCAAGGAGCTTCTCTTCTTGGGGAATGGGTAAGGTGAGGCAGGGAACTGTTGCCATTTCTTCCGGTCAGTTAATTATCTTGACCTTTTACCATAACTTGAAGTTTTCTGAGAAAGTCTAATATTTTAATACCAGGGACCCCACTTTTTAAAACTGAACCCCACTGAGGTCAAAATAGGTTTGGGGGTCATTTATCCACTCCTACAGGACCTCCATTTTCATAAATCACTCTTCCCCAACCTGTCACCCTGAAAGTTGCTTCTCTTGCTCCCTTTGCTGAGACTCCTAAACATTTTGTCTGTGCTCTCTTAGGCTTCACCCATGGGCAGTTCTTCCCCCGATCTGGGTAAATCAGGTATTGTCGAGCAGATGCTGGGTTCTTAGGAAAGTCCGTCAGCTGACTCCCTGTTCCTCCTTCCTTCAGAAAAACGGCTACGTGACTGTCAGTGATATCAAAGCCAGTCTTAAATGGGAGACCGAGCGAGCCCGGCAAGTGCTGGTATGTGAATTTTGGAGTGGCCCAGAAGAGATGGGCCCCAGATGGGTGGATAGATAGCACATCAGCAGAAACTGCAGCCTTGCTCTGCTTGCCCCTTGCCTTGAAAGCTGCGGTCACCACTCAGAAGCAACCCCCGCATCCCTCTGAAGGTGGCACTCAGGGGCGGACTTCTCACTCTGCTGTAGGCCAGTCACCAATACCTGCTGTCTCCCCCGACCTGTAGAGCCCGGTCAGAGGGTTCATATGGTTCATATTGGAAGTAACACTGTTAATACAGAGTGAAGGGAACTGTTACCTACTTAATTACATATCCATAATTATATACTATTATACTGTATTATATAGTTAGCGTTTTATATATACAGGTTTCTTGGAACTAATGAAAGGCTGGTGTGAAGGAGTAGTAGCAGGCAAGTGTAACCCTGGCTTTTAATACCTTCTTTTTTATCCAGGTAATTAAACTACAGACTTCTTCTGGAAAGCAGGGTAACACAAACATCTGTTTAATGTATTGGGCACAACCAGCCCGTCTTGAGCCTAATTCCAGCTGTAGGAATTTTGAGTCCATTCTAAAGTAATACAGTCCTTCCATTCCATTAACTTCTCCATGAAGGTTTACCCGCAAGTTAACTGAAGTTAACCGAACCGTAATTAGAACAGTGGTCTCCCATTTTGCTTCAGGCAAAAGGGATCAAGGATTTGCTTAGGGCCATAGGGTGGACCTTTCTTTAGCTCTACATTCTTTCTACAATGTCCCACTCTACTTGTCTTTACCCTCTTTCCCAGCAGCACAGATTGATTGGTAGCATTTTTCACACCACAGGCAAAGGTCAGGGTCAAACAGAACCAGGGATTCCAGGTTAGCTGTGTAAATAAATATGTGAAGGCACTAATGTAGATTTAGTGTGAAAACCCCACTGAAGCCAAAATAGGTTTGGGGGTCATTTATCCACCCTACAGGAACTCCATTTTCATAAATGACTCTTCCCTCCAGGAACACCTGCTAAAGGAAGGGCTGGCCTGGCTGGACCTGCAGGCCCCAGGGGAGGCCCACTACTGGCTGCCAGCTCTCTTCACTGACCTCTACTCCCAGGAGATTACGGCTGAGGAGGCCAGAGAAGCCCTCCCTTGACTCGGAGTGTGGAATGGGCCCCAGCAGCAGGCAGGGGGAGGGAGGAGCTGCTGCTGAATAAAACCTGAATAACTTTGTTATTTTTTTTTTTAAAGAAAGTTCCAAGTTTTTTCTTCCTTCAATACTCTTCACCCATAATTTTATTTTAAAGTGCCTTCACATTGCATCTTTACTGGAGAAAACTTCATTTATCCAGTAAGGATAACCTGAGTAACACAGTACAGCAAGCACGTATGAAATGACCTGCATGGGTCATCTGCAAGTTCATGGTAGAGTTGCGTCTAGAATGAAGGTGGTCTGTTTCCTGGCTAGACAGTTTCGTCTCTGTAGCCCTGGGACTTAAGTTATAGCCCATTAATTCAAACCTTGTCCTCATAAAAAGGTTTATCTCAGACAAGCAGACCCTAAAGGACCAGTAAGAGCCACTCGCTCAGTCTTTCTGGCTTGCTCTAGACCTTCTGGGTTCTGATGGACCTGGCTGAGTGTGAGGGAAACAGGTGTTAGAAACAACGGAACCTAGGACCATCAACCAACAGCGGCCACAAGTCATCGAGTTTCATCTTTGCTTTCCCTCCTGTGCTGATCACCAGGTCCCTCTAGCCTTAGTGGTGGGAAGGGCATCATTTACTGAACAGCTACCCTGTGCCATTTTATGAACACACCTAATCCCCTCACAGCCACTCTCAGAGGCTCAGTAAGGTCTCCTTACATCTCAGGCGAGGAACTGACATAATCGTTCCCCAGGGCCACCAGCTTACAAAGCAAAGCTAAGAGCCGGAGCCCATGTTCACTGGTGCCAGGACCCTTACATGCCTGTATCGTGGCTTCACATAGCCTAGGCTGGCAGGACGCTCTACACGTGGTCAGCCAAGAGGACAAGCCTGTGCCAGGCAGCAAAAATTCTTGAGCAACTAGGGAAGGGAGTGATGAGCTAGCTGTATGAAGCTGTCTCCATCCTCTGAGTCCTGAATTCCTAAGGGCTGCTTTAGTGCCAGAAATCTGAAAACCCAGTTCACTTTGGATTACCCAGAACCTAAGACACCCTTTCCTTACCCAGAGCAATAGTCTACATCTGCCGGTCTTCCTAGGATACGCTCACTTCCCAGTCTCTGCAGAAGGATCCCTTTGGAAGCAACTGAGGCCAAGATGGCACTCCTCTCCTGGACTGCCAGAGGTGGTCTCAAAAGAGGCTCTTCTACTTCTGGTTAGTGGGGAACTCGTCACCAGCAGCCCTGTTTCCACCCACATCATGTAACTAGTTTTCAGCTTCTAGACAAAGCATTGAGCACTTTCTCTGACAAGTTTGACTTGGGCGAGAGGCGTGGTTGTTGAGAGGATCCCATTCTCCCTTTACACAAACCCTCCCACACCCATAGGCGCTTCCTCCTTCTGCCAAAACAAACTTTATTGCACCAAAAAGAAAAAAAAAAAAACTTCATTTATGTACAGTCAGATATAAAGACATCTCTTGACTCCTGTGCATATATTTCCTCAACTCAAGATTAGGGCATAAAAGTCAGGCTGGTGTGCCAGACATGCTCTGCCCACGGCAGGGCCAAGGAGAGGATTGTCACTTGAAAGTGGGAACACTTAAATGGATGACAGACGACCACTGGACCAACAGACCAAGGGCATTCTTCTAAGCCCTGTACGAGTTCTGGGAGTGGAAGAGGGAAATTGGAAGCAGGGTCCCTTTCTGAAATCTCCCTATTAAGAGACCCAGTTTTAAGTATCCGAGATAAACTTCCGTTCCCCAAGCCCACTTCTGTCCAGTTTCTTTGCTTCCTGCCCTCCCAAGTAGAACATTTTCCTCTGCGTCCAACCCCTCCCAAGCTCCCCCAGGGAAGTCCCCCGGCCCCTGGGCAGAGGGCTCCCCAGCAGCAGGCAGGGCAGGTATGGTTATCCTCTCCCTTACATGTGGCTGGATACTGACCGAGGCCCTGCGTCACATGGATCACCAACACCCCACTGGGAGCCATAACAGTAAGAATCTGGAAAGTATGGGGGAGAACACACCAAAAAGGGGAAGGCTGGATTTCCTTGGTGCCCAGTACAATGGGGCACCTAAAGCACATTTTTCTGAGCCAGCCCACTAAAGGACCACTGCAGCTAGATACAGAGAAGCAACACAGCCAGGCGAATGCCCATGGGAGCTGGTGACAGAGCAGCAGGGGGGGTGGGGGAAGGAAGGGAGGCAGGAGGAGCCCAGAGTCCCAGCCCTAGTCCCTCTGCCCTTGGCGACCCTTGCTCCCCACGCGTTTCTGGGCACTGAAGTGAAGGGGGGGCACTGGAGGCTGGGGTAAAAATACACAAGGACAGCCAAACAGAACACAACAGGGCTAGCGTCAGTCTCCCCACTGCACCCCGCCCCCCGGGGAACCCCCTCATCATCGTGGCTAGGATTTACGAAAATCTGAAAGAGACTATTCTACATAGTGGCTCTCATTCCCCACACACAGCGGCTGTGTTGGGAACTTTTCAAATCAGTGATTGCGGGAACAAAATCAGCTTCTCGTGCTGCCTGTGCAGGCTTTACCAAGACCTCGGTTCAGTCCTGGTCACATTTACCTTCTGTCTTAAATCTAGAAATGGGCAAGGGAATGGGGGGTGGGGAGCAGAGGAGAAAGGTGCTCAGGTGCTAGGTAAAGCTTACTGATCAGCAGCCTAGACTCCACCACTGTTCCTTCTCTTTGGTCTGTCTAGAACAGTGACTATAAATTAGGAAAAACAAAATTATGCTGGCCCATGGGAAGTAAGGGCAGAGGAGGCAGGGAGGAAAAAGGGCATCGGGAAGCCCTGCTTCAAGACTGCAGACAGACAGACAACCACCCAGACTGCTTAAGTGTCACAGACAGCCCCCCACCCAGAGCTCCCTTCCAGATATCCCCATAAAGCATTCGGGCACACTCCCTCCTGGACTTCCGGCTTCTATCCCCCACCTGTCCCTAAGGAGCTGGCCCTGTGCAGAGGTGTGTCGGTTGTTTTGTTTTTGCCAGAGGCCCTCGCCCTGGAGGTGCTCCTGCATAGGTACCGTGGCCCCTGCTACGGGATGAACAGCCCTGGGGGCTGGAGAGCCGGGGAGGTCAGAGCGGAAGAGCCTCCCCACTCCTGCGCCCTGGGATCCGAGCTGGCTTGGTTCTTGCCATCTTGCGGGATGACATCACGTTTGGAGGGAGATACACAGTGCCTCTCCGTCCCTGGGGTGGGGGGGAGGGACTTGGCTGGGACTCTTGAGTGGGGGGAGGGGAGAGGGGAGCAGGGTCTAAACCCTCAGGCTCCCGTGCAGGTCTGTCTCTGTCCCAGACGAACTGCTATCAGAGTCCATTTCGGCGTTCTCATTATGGAGCCTCTCCAGCACTTTCTGACGAATCAGTCCCAGACGCATCAAGAGGGACTGGTAGTCAAAGTGGCCACGCTTCTCTCCGAAAGGGTCCTGTGGGGGAAAGGAGACAAGCGGGATGGAAGATTCTCATCTGGGCAGCTCATCCTAGACAGTGCAGCTTTGGGGCCGTGCTGGACTCGCTCAACTTCCCAGGCACTAGACTAGAATAAGATGTGGCATTACAGTCCCTGACCGCAGATTGCATACCCTCTGACGAGGAATATTATGGCACGTTTACCACCCCAGATAGGTCTGGCTTGGGCCAACATTAAAATGTGCTGGTGTTCCCTGAAAGTGAGCCAATGTGGAGAAGGGGGTCATGGGGAAGACGACATAGGTAAGAAACAGAAATTCAAGACCAGAACTGTAATCATTAAGTATGTCTGTGTTTTCAATTAATTTCCTAAAAGACATACAAGGGAAATATTATTCTGCTTTCCCTCTATCCAAAAGGGTAATTTGTTTTTCCAACATCATGGGCGGGTCTAGTACTCAGGAGTTCTGACTTTCAGAACTAGATAAGTACCCATACACTCTTTCAGAGAGATCAGTCACTACCATCCTGTCAGGTTTCTAGGCATCGCTCCAGGGCCACCCAGCCTTGATCCTAGTCCTTGTTATTCTAGATCAAAGATTTCCAGACATTTTGTAGTAAGGGGTTAACTGTTCTGAAAGTCTCAAAAACAACTAGGGTTGGAGTAGAGGAGATAAACAAAAGAACTTAAAATGCTGTACAGAGAATATGGCAACAAAAGTAGCACGTGGCAGGGTTTAGACAAGTGGAGACATCTTTCCTTGAGAGTCACAAAAAGGTACACCATTTTTCCCTCTCACATTCTGCTTCTTCCACATTAACTATTTCCACACTTCTGCCCACATATCACCCTCATGATTAGGGATCAGTGTACACAAATCACAGTCATTGTGATTACAGCCCACACTTCTCACTTCCAAAAGTTACACTCCCCAAAAGCTGAACTCCAAACTTACTTTGGAGCTGTCAATTTTTCAAATCTTCCTTTCTTCATCCTTGGCTCCATTTCTACCCATGTCCCTCCTCCCCAGATGCTGCATGCTCTTCCCTTTCCTTCTCTGATCATGAGTTATTTTTCCTCCACAGAGTGAATATTGGGAAATGCTTTTGAATACCAGCAATGAGAATTCCTGATGGGGAACGAACCATGGCAGGTATCACATACGATATACTCTGCAAAAGGGGTCAGGAGCAAGTTAACCCTGAGAGGGCCTTGCTCTTTGAGGTTTTGTTTTGTCTTGTTTTTAAAGATTTCATTTACTCATGAGAGGCAGAGAGAGTGAGAGAGAGAGGGAGGGAGGTAGAGACACAGGCAGAGGGAGAAGTAGGCTCCATGCAGGGAGCCTGATGTGGGACTCGATCCCGGATCCCGGGATCACGCCCTGAGCCAAAGGCAGATGCTCAACTGTTAAGCCACCCAGGCATCCCATGTTTTGTTTTTTAAAGTCATCTCTACATGCAACGTGGGGCTCAAACTTCCAACCCCAAGATCAACAGTCACATGCCCTTCTGACAGAGCCAGCCAGGCGCCCTTGCCCTTTGAGTTTTCATGTGGCAGATGGGTGGGGAAGTCCTTGAAGGAAGGACAGGGAAACTACTATTTCTAAGCAGCAGCTGAGGACAGAACACATTTACTGCTACTGCAGTAAATGCTGCTGGGGGAGCCTGGGTGGGCAAAGCATCTCAGCAAGAAATGGAGAGAACCTCAAGAGGCCTCAGTCACTCATCCAAGTCCATACAATTCTAAGTAAGACCATGAGTAAATGAGCCAAAAAAACATAAGAACTAGTCCTTAGGGACAGGAGTAGTCTCACTCTCTTAACAACCACGTTTTTTTTATATTTGAGCCCATTTACAATTTGGTTTAATAAGAATCTCCTCTTATTTTTTTAAAATAGGTTCCAGGCCCAAGGTGGGACTCAGACTCACAACTCTGAGATCAAGAGTCAAATGCTCTAGTGACTGAGCCAGCCAGGCTCCCCACCAAGAATCTCTTTATTTTATTTTTTTTTAGAATCTCCTCTTTAAAACAAGCATCAATCCTGTATTCCTATTGGAAGTGGATACACATTTCTCCAGTTGAGGCAGAGAGTAAACAACCACTTACTGTCATTTGTAACAGCAATCTTTCAACATATAACACCACATACCCAGTGTTTCCCTGGGCCTTGTTCTCCGAGTACCCTTCTGAGCTAGGGACAGAACTCCAGTAGAGAACTCACCATTATAATCGCTAAGATTCAGAGAGGGCTGAATGTTCTTGGTTTGAAAAGACTACTAAGAAGGGCAGGCCTTCTGAGCTACAAAGGATGGTTCAGACTCTACTTATGAACATCTAGTTTATGCCAAGACAGAAGCAACTCCACAAGAATGAGACACATTTGTCTCCTCTCTGGGCTATAGAGACTCAGATGAACCAAGATCCCTTTGGCTCTGAATTCTCTTAAGAGATGCAGAGGCTATCCTTGTGGGTGGATTTTACATGGTCTGCTGCAGAGCCTCTGGCCTTAGTGGCAGGGGCTGCATTACCTGCATAGTCTGGCCTTGAAGGTGTAGGCGATCTTTGCAGGCCACCTCATAGAAGTCGTAATACTCCAGAAAGGACTTCTCCATCACGCCTCTGGAGAACAAGCAGAGAAGCTGAAGTTAGGGACACAGTGTGCACGGGATCATCCCTTTACCATCTAACTTACTGCCAAATCAAATAGAGCTCCCAAGCCCGGATGTGATATCCTACAAAGACCTTTCTTTCTTTTAAGATTTATTTATTTTAGAGAGAGAGAGAGAGAGGGAGCAAAAGAAGGAGGGGCAGAAGGAGAATCTCAAGTAGACTCTATGCTCAGTGTGAAACCCAACATGGGGCTCGATCTCATGACCTGAGCTGAAACCAAGAGTTGGACACTTAACCGACTGGGTCACCCAGGTACACCCCTCACAAAGATCTTTCAATGGAAAATGGAAAAAGGAATAGATGATGGCCGAAGGTGATTTCTCATATTCCTTTGGTATTATTAAAGGAGGATAACCGGGATGCCTGGGTGGCTCAGCAGTTGAACACCTGCCTTCTGCCCAGGGCGTGATCCTGGAGTCTCGGGATCGAGTCCCAGATCAGGCTCCTTGAGTGAAGCCTGCTTCTCCCTCTGTGTCTCTGCCTCTCTCTCTGTCTCATGAAATAAATAAACAAACAAACAAACAAATAAGGATAACCATTAATACTGACCATTTAAATCCCAACTTCACAACTTGTGACTCTATCTCATTTGTTTTTCATAGGCCATCCCTAATCCCAAACCTTACTCAAAATTCTTCCAAGTTTGTTTTGATAACTGTGACTTTGTTCATCTACTTTGAACAGTTACAAATAAACTCAAACACTGAGAAATAGGTTTGTTGTGAAGGGCTCTACACCTCATTTGGCTGTAGAACAGTAAGGATCTTCAACAGGTCCAGGCGCTCATCAAATTGGAGTCTCCCTAAGGGTGTGGACTATGTCTTTCCCATTAGGCTTGGCACTCTCCTAGAATCAAACAGCTCTCTGAACTTCCAAGTGACCCTCAGCCACCACTCTTTAAAAGCATGAACCACACAGCTTTCGTTTTCTGATCTCCTCTGGTGCCCAAGAGTGGATTTTGGCTCAAAGGTTCTCAATGGTATGAACCAGCTACATTTTCAACAGTAATACCAAGTGCCAAGTGGGCGCTCTTGGCACACACATACCGTAAGGGCTCAGGGCAGGGACACTTTCCTTCCATCATGTCACAGACCGCCACTCTGATGGTCTCATGCCGGATACATTCATTGTAATTTTTGCTGTCTCCTGGATGTCTCTCCTGTAATGTAAAGGACATTGGGTGTCCAAATACAAAATTTAGGCAAAGAAAAAGTAAATAGGAGGAGGCTTCAGGATTAATATGGTGTATGTGACCCAAGCAAACAAGGGTACCTTTCCAACTATATGGCAGATCCATGAAGATCCAACTCAGTTTTTTTTTTCCAACTCAGTTTTTATTTTTGAGATCATCAACCTCCCCCCATGCATGCCAATACCCATCCTCTGTTAGAGGTCACTTAACCTGTAAGCAGCCAACTAGACGCATCAAATTTTCCTAAGGCTGAAATGAGAGGCCTCTGAAGTAAAGATTCTATGGGAAAGAACCCAATGTTAAGAATGGTAGTGGGACAAAAACATAAACATGTCAATAGGAGTCTCAGTAAAAAACCCTATAAATATCTGGATGCTTCCCAGCCAACTCCCTTTTATTCTGCAGGGTTCCACCATTACTCAAATCAACTACTATGACTCTACTGGAAGTAAAACTTGAAGTTTCCAAAAGAAGACTCCAACTCTGAGAAAGCCATTATGAATGTGTGGGTATAAATGGAAGGGGGTACAGTCTTCCAATCTCTTAACTCCTCCTTTACTCTTCAATGCTCCTCCTCATCACCAACCCAGCAACCAGAACCTTGGGCCCTGACTGAAATACATCATGAGCAGGAAAGAGGTAACATACCCTCAGTTTACCACCATGGTTTCCAAAATGCACCACAGCGAGATCACAGGGGGTGCTGGGGATTTAAACTTTTTGAGGAAAACCACAGTATTCGCCACCTGTCAAACACTGTGAGAACCACTAACTTGAGCTCAGTGGGTCAGTTCTGACCTTAGACTGCATGATATTCCTTTCAATGACACATTATCTTTGTGAAGCTGGACTGTCAATCACTACTTTGGTAAATAACAAGTAGCATACATAAACAGCAGGGAAGAGTAATGAGGGTGGTGGATCCAATTGGATTCCAAGATCTTCAAAGTTGTGTGGTACCCAACAAGTGTACCCTTCCTGTCATTAAACCATTTTAGTTATTTAAGAAAGAAGTTGTCTGGACCTAACTGCTTAAGAAACAGAACAGCCAGGCACTTCCGTCTGCCTGGGGAGCTGTGAAAAAGCCACCTAGACACCAGGGGCTGTGAACCAATAATGTTTGGGAGTACTAAGAATCAATGTCCCATCTCTTAAATTCCCAAAGGAAAGACCCTAAAATCAGCTCTTTGGTTAGCAAATGAGTTCCTTTTCCATTTCTACCTAATCCTAAAATCAAATACACTATTTGTTTGGAAAGGTGGTTTTGGGAATAACTTTTGTTGTTCATTCTTAAAGGGTATTCCCCGCTGTTCCGGTCGATAAATGAACCAGCAATGGCATCATTATTTCAAATAGTGCGAAAATTAAACTGTTTTAACCACCTAGACAGAGTTATCATCTTTGGGGATGATCACTGGAATTCTTTCCCAAGTAATCTTGGCAGGCATTTTGAAAGGATGGAAGAACTCTGGGCTCCTAGGCCAATATTGGGTTCTATCATGATCTATGTATCTTTGTGAAAGTGAACTAACCTCTCCGTGTCACCATCACCTCATCTGAAAATGGGAATAACATTTACCCCAAGTTAGTACAGTAATCTCCACACCCAGCATGGGGTTTCAACTCCCAACCCTGAGATCAAGAGATGCAGGCTCTTCCAGCTGAGCCAGCCAGCTGCCCCTACCTCAAATTAGTGTAAAGTTTAAATGGAATATTATATATTCCACACACACACACACACACACACACAGTTATCATATATAAAAATTTGGCAGCGGTTGGCATATAGCACACCCCTGGAAAATGCAACTCTCCTCTCCCTTCTCTTTGGCAGCGTTGACTAAAATATTCTTCCCCTAGCTGATGACTAGCTCCTTTGGCTCTTCAGGTTACAGAACTTTGTAACTCCAGAACACCTAGCTGAGCAGTAGTCACTACAGGGAGTACCTTAAAGGGATACTGGAGGATGGACATATATAGAACCCACCAGTTGCAATAGCCCCCAAAGCAGGCTTAGAATTAGTGTCCAGATGACTCTACTGATTCCTACCTTGTAGAAACACAAGTCAAATGGAAATAACTGGACATTGTTATTGTAACTTACAAGGAAAAAAAATCATTTTTAAGGAACACACACCAACTCCTTTTTTCTCCTATGGTGACATTAAACAAACAAGCAAGCAAACAAATGGGACCTTTAAGCAGACCTCTCAGATCTCTTCAAACCCCGTCTTCTACTCCCCAGCTGGCCCCTCTGGCCTTACCTGCTCAAAGCCAGGTTCATTGTGATAGGGGTTCTCAGTCATTAGGGATTGGATGGAGATGAGCACAGAAGAGATGCTCTGGGCTGGGCTCCAGGCGGGGCCAGTCCACGTACTGCAAAACAGCAGAGGGAGGGAAGAGGGTGAGGCCGAGAGTGATGGTGGAGGCCGCCACAGAAAGACTAGTGCACCAGCACCCTGGGCCCTGGCAGCACCCGCTCAGTGAGTCAGTGAGTCAACGTTTCTCTTTCACTATTAATGCTCTGGAATTTCCCAGCCTGTCTCTCACCCTCATTGACCAGAAATCAGTCAACTGCCTAATCCTCTTATCAAGTGGGACAAAAGGAAAGAGCGTAAAGCAAGCAAGAAAACTTTGAAGGGATTTTCATTGGGCCTAGGAAAGAAACAGTATCCAGGGAAGGTTCTATTCATCAAAATGGAAGAAATAAGGTAAGAAAACACCAAAGGCAATCTAAGTGTTAAGCTCTGTGGATCTTGGAGCTGGCTTATTTAGGGGTGGTGAAGGGGTGAGGGGAGAGAAGCTCAGCACAGAGGCACGGAGGGGGGGGTGCATAGGGGGATGGCCTGAAGCCACCTGGTCAGGGGCAGTGGGTGGGGTTTGATGACCCAGGGTCCTGCTCTGTAGCCAGCCCCTGAAGAACGTCAGGCTCTCTGAAGACCACGGAACTCTGCCAGAGGACAGGGAGGGGAGTTAGGGGCACTTCTAGACTGGGAAGGGTCTGAAATAACATATGGAAACCGTCCTGAATAAAAGAGAAGCACCAAAATTGCTCCTCTCCTCCATATACCTGATCAAGTACTAGGCAGAGGGAGGGCAGCTTGGACATTCATGACATTTCTTTTTAGCTCAATTAACTGAAGAGGAGGCACCTGATCTGGAAGTGGAACACAACCTAAGCTATGACTGGCTTGCTCAAGTTAACTGGCCCATTCCCTCTTCCTATTAACTTGAGGAAAGCCCAGTTAAGTAGTGTGGCACAGCAAGCTCATCATCACCATCACCACCTTCACCACCAAGGCTTGCTCTTCAGAACCTCTCAGCCTGCTCCCCTCAGCTCTGCTCCTCCAGGAACGCCAGGTCCTGTGCTAAGACTCCACATACTCCGGGAGTCAAGCCAACAACGTAAATTTTCATAACATTTCTTTTGTCAGGCAGCCCCAATCTTTTTTTTCTAAGTAGGAAGGAAAGGACTGAAGCTGACGGAAGAGTCAACTAGGAACACATGGGAATTTTCTATCCTGTGAGTCCTTGTGGTTAATGTTCAATTTCAGGGTAGCTTCTTTCCCATCCAACACACTTCTGCTACTCCTACCCCGCCGTCTTACTTCCCCTGGTTCTACTGTGAGCTGATGTTTGTTCAAAATCGTTTTATACTGGCCCAATGGAGAACCTAGTACAAAAACACTATCACACACAAATGTCATGGAGAAACAACAAGTGAATATCCTCACCACTGTGGGCTATGTCTACCACTATCCTACCAGATAAATACCCTAACAACATAAAGGACCGCTTTAAGGACAACCTCCTTTGAAGGACTTCCTCACTGCCACCACCACAGAACATGTCCCTGGGTCTGAGAGATTAAAAATATAAATAAATAAAATAACTCCTGTCTCCAGTTTGGATCAGCTGCCTTTCCCCCACACACACTTGGAAATATGCTGGACAGGAAAGAAAAAGGTATCACCAGTTCTGGCAACTCTCCCAACTTCAACCTGCACTTGTCCTCTGCCCCCAGGGAAACTCAGACCACATAAACACCGCCAATCCAGAAGACATTGTTTCCATTCTGAATTTTTAGCCCCCAAAGGCAGTTAAAAGGGAGCGAATGAGAACCGCATGAAGCAAAATCTCAGTAGCACCCAGAAACAAAATGTACTTGAAACTTGGATTTCTTATCTGATATGATTTCCAACCTTAGACGTTTTTCATTCAGTTGTTAAAATATCATGATCATCTTCATCACCACCGCCGCCTCCAAAGCCACTCATTGACTCAGAAACAAGACACCCACAATCTTAAATGGCACAGATCTGCAGCCTTTCTCAACCTGTTCAGGAGAGAATGAAGCCCTGATGCCCTAAGGGAGTGGTTCTCAAGCTGAAGTATGCGCCAGAAATCACCGGGAGAGCTTGTAAAACACAGATTGCTAGGCCCTCCCCTAGAGTTTCTGATATAGTACGTCTAGCTAGGGTGGACCCCCAGAATCTGTAGGGCTACAAGCTCTCCAAGTGCTGTTACTGGTCAGGGAGAACCACTTCACTAAGGCATCCATTGTAGGTCATAAATGAACTTCTCTCTTTTGCACTTAGAATGATACTAATCACGTACCATCCTGGGGAAAATTGAGGAAACAGTCACTCCAATCATTTTCTGGGTTCTGTGGTTCAGATGAGGAACCCCGGTTGATAAAGGCTGGCCTAGAGTAATTATTTGCTAACAACCAACTTGGCCACTTAGAAGTCTCCTCTTACCCTAGAATACTCAAGCAGACTTTCCCATTGCGGTAGAAGTTGGGGTTAAACCTCACTGTGTTATTGCCCGTTGTCATCAGTTTGACCCGAGGTGGGTGGATGGGATAGTCGGGCGGACACCGAAACACGAACAGGAAGAAACCCCCTTCATAAGGAGTGTCAAATGGGCCTGTGATCAATGCATGAATCTGCAAAATAAAACCCCATCTCAAAATTGTGAGGTGATGTCCCATCCCAACCCCTCCTGGCTTCCACTTGCTACCCACACCAGCAGCAGGACCTTCATCTAGTATCCATATTCCATATCCTCACCATGCGGAATGAACAGCCTGTACTCACTCATGCTAATAAGTATGTTTGGAATTTTAAGAAATCCCATTACGGTGGAGTGGCATCTTACTCAGTGGTTAACTTCTAAAGTTAGAGCCCAAGATGAAAACTGAATGTAGTCAAAAATCACCCTGAATGTCCCTTAAAACTCCCTGTGACAGCATAGGTTGTTTTTTTTTTTTTTTTAAGACTTCCCTGATCAGTGTTACATATAACAAATACACATGGAACACCACTGCACCAACTAAAATACGCAACTGTAAAATATTATCCTAGCCCGTTTAGTTTTAAGAATCTAATATATACTTTTACTGAGCACGTCTGTTTGGATTTGCCTAGGTTAAACATGTGTCTGAGGCAACCCCACCCTCCATTTAGGAGGCACAAAGGGGAGTAAGATGAACAGAAAAGAGCAAAGGGATTGGTGGCCACAGTGCCAGTTAACAGTGCAGAGCTGAGGGTTGTGATGGAGGCCTAGGATCTCTGCTGCCTCCACAAAGGAGCAAACCTACTGTGGGAGGATGTGGCTCAGGGAGCAGCCAGTTGTGTCAAAGATACAAAAAAAAAAAAAAAAAGAAAAAGAAAAAGAAAAAGAAAAAAATCAATTTAAGGGAAACTTATTCAAAACAAAATACATATATCTACACTACAAAGTCAGAACTTTTACCGTAAGAAATCTGAAACCATGGAAGAGTTTTCATTTAAACAATATTAGATTTAGGAAATCTTGATTTCTTCCCAACATTAGTTTAAGTGAAAAATTCACTTCTGAGGGTAGAGCGCTCAATGACAGAGAGGCCTAGGTATCTATGCCAGGGGAATTTCAGCCTTCTCTGTGTTTGTGTATGGAGGACAAGACAAGAATGGTCTTTGGAGTAGAAAGGACATTCAAAAGCAACCAGTTGGGGGATCCCTGGGTGGCGCAGCGGTTTGGCGCCTGCCTTTGGCCCAGGGCGCGGTCCTGGAGACCCAGGATTGAGTCCCACGTCGGGCTCCCGGTGCATGGAGCCTGCTTCTCCCTCTACCTGTGTCTCTGCCTCTCTCTCTCTCTCTCTCTCTGTGTGTGACTATCATAAATAAATAAAAATTAAAAAAAAAAAAAAAAAAGCAACCAGTAGGGCAGCCCCGGTGGCGCAGCGGTTTAGTGCCGCCTGCAGTCCGGGGCGTGATCCTGGAGACCTGGGATCGAGTCCCGCGTCGGGCTCCCTGCATGGAGCCCACTTCTCCCTCTGCCTGTGTCTCTCTCTCTGAATGAATAAATAAATAAATCTTTAAAACAAAAAAAAACAAAAGCAACCAGTTAGGGATGCCTAGGTGGCTCAGTGGTTGAGCCTCTACCTTTGGCTCAGGGCATGATCCTGTCGTTCTGGGACTGAGTCCCACATCGGGGTCCCTGTACGGAGCCTGCTTCTCCCTCTGCCTATGTCTCTGCCTCCCTCTCTCTCTGTGTCTCTCATGAATAAATAAATAAAATCTTAAAACAAAACAAAGCAAAACAAAAAAACACAAAAACGACCAGTTAGGGGATCCCTGAGTGGCTCAGTGGTTTAGCGCCTGCCTTTGGCCCAGGGCGTGATCCTGGGGACCCAGGATCGGGTCCCACGTCGGGCTCCCTGCATGGAGCCTGCTTCTCCCTCTGCCTGTGTTTCTGCCTCTCTCTCTCACTCTCTGTGTCTCTCATGAATAAGTAAAAAAAAAAAAAAAAAAAAAAAAAAAGTTAAAAAAAACAACCAGTTAGGACAGAAGTCTGAACAAGGTCCTTTGAGTATAAACTCTATTCACTCAGGTTTGCCTCATGCCCAACCTTCTCTGCATCAGACTTGAGTCCAGAGTGACAGGGTAGGGGAAGAATTGAGTAGAAAAATGAATAAGATGACTATATAATCTAACATCCCAAGTGGAGCATTTTTGAGAGTGAATGAGTGGCCCTAATAATAGTTAATCTGGGACAAGAGGCATAAACAGGGATTTTCCAAGCCAACCAGACCTACTGGCACCTGAATAAAAGACACCTGTTCAAGGCTCTGCTCCACCTCACTGTGTGACCTTGGGCAAGCCACTTACTCTCTTGGGATCTTAATTTATTCATTTACGTAATCAGAAATGTGAGCTGAATAATCTTTCTGGACCCAATTTCCCAATAGCCCCCAGCCCCCTCCAAGTTACATACCTTAGTCATGTCAACAGTATCTGGTACAACGAACATTCCTGGAGGAGGCTCCTTATAAATGGACATGATATCCCTGTATAACATCAAGAGGAGGTAGGGAAGGGAGTGAGGGAGAGAGAGGAAAAAAGGGGAATCCCTTGAGCAGGACAGTTGTTACACCTCAATGAGGCCAGGGCTTGAGAAAGTGGTGCTTGGTACCACAAACGTCTGCACTGTCTTGTTGGCTGAGAAATCTCAGCTGAGTACTTGTCAGGCAAGCAGAGAGCAAATTATTATCAAAAGAGCATTGTTTCCTCAGGAGGAGGGGGAAAAATCAGAGATCCCAGTGGCATCAGATGTCACCCCGGAAAAGCCACATCCCATTTACTCTCTCTTCCTCCCACAGGGCAATTCATTCACTCCCCACCTCCGAGATTCCCAGGTACTACAACTGAATGCTAAATGAAGACTGTTCAGTAACTGGGAAGACATAATCAACTCCACTAAAAAAACGAATCCCATAAACCATACAGTGAGCCATTGTTGGCCAGAGGAATACACAAAGCAAGTGAGCTAGCAAAAAGCAATAATGGTCTTCTTGCCCAAAACACCGACAGTGTAGAGATCGCTTCAGATTGGAGAAGGTACCCTCTGCAATTGCTGAGAGTCCCACATCTGAAAAATGACATGTAGTGGCTACCATAGAATCCATCAGTTGTGAGTTAGGGTCCAAAGGACATTCTAGGTGGAAAAGACTCGGCAGGGCACATAGGGACATAAACTGCAAACAAGTGGGAGAGGAGAAGAAAGAAGTATTGGCAGAACTCAATGGTAGAAATCAGGAATGGCAGACTGAAGTGGATGGAGAACAGGTGTAGAAGGGAGTGCTGAGGTTCTGAAGTTAGAGGTGGTGACCCTGATGGAGCTGGCATCTGTGTCAGGCACTGGGCCAGGTACTTTACACACAATGTGCTGCTTAATTTTTATTACAACCTTGAAAGGTAGGTAGAGACATCTGAAGGGACTTGCAGCGTGTGTGTGTGTGGGGTGAGATCACCTCGTTGAGGATGGCGGCAATGAGGGGGGGCAGGAATGAGGAGGAGAGGCAGAGACTGGTCATCAGGAAACAGGTTTCAGGCTGAATAGCGGCTCAAAAGCATTACTCTTTTCCTATGCAGTTAAGTACTACGCTAAGCATTTTTGCAGAAACATTATCTATTAAATGATAGGATCTAAGATCAGTCACCCAAGAAATAAGCACAGAAAGGACTTGGGCCTTTGTTCCTATATTTGAATTAGGTATATTTGCTACAGAAAACTAAACCAGATGAGCGAGAGGAAAAAAATACAAGAAAGTCTTGAGTGGGATAATACAAGCCAGAGTGAGACTGGGTGGGGGAAAAAGCCTGCATTGCTGGAACAGGTGTGAGAGTGGATAGCTTTGGGGTTCTGGAGAAGTGGTTCAAGGGGAGATTGCGGGTATGTAAGGGAAGCGATCTAGATTTGGGGAGACGGCTTGCGGAGATGGGGAATCAAAAGAAACGTTGGCCTCGACTCTGAAGCCACGGAAGGCAAGCTTTCTCTCTACGTGTGTTACAAACGGGGCTCGGGAGGAGACGACGCCGGGAGGGGGGGCCAATGGGTGGGGCCTCCGGGCAGCATCTAGCAAGGCTGGAGTGGGGAAGGGGGGAAGAGAGGCGGCGCGGAAGGCGGGAGGGGGTGTTGCTGAAGCGCGAAAGGGTCGGGTTTCGGGCGGGAGGTGTGGGGGAGGGTGTCCGGCACCGAGACGGGAGGGCTCCCGGGAGGTAGCCGAGGGGCGGGGTCGGACCTGGGCAAGCCTGGAGGGGTTTGGTGCGTGTGGAGCTGCGGGCGGGGGGAAGAGGGGACTTGGATCGCGACGCTTTGGGCTGGCAAGACGTGGGCCTTGGAGCTGAGCCGCCGCGAGGGAGGCGCGAGGCAGCGCGCGAGGTGGGGGGTGTAGTGGGAAAAGGGGGGGGCGGGGAAGGTCGAGCCCCGGAGCTCGGGGCTGGGGGAGGAAAAACCCCGGCTCACCGCTTGATCCGAAGTAGACACTGCGGCGCGGTTCGTTCGCCGTCCCAGTCGGAGCTGAGTGTGGGGTCCCAGTGGCTAAGCAGCGCGGCCCCGTGGGCAGCGGCCGAGGGCGGGAGCCCGGGCAGCGGAGCCAGGCCGCTCCCCGGCCCCCCGGCCCCGCCCGCCGCCGCCGCCGCCGCCCACACATCCGGCAGGAAAGGCGGCCCGAACCCGCTGCCGCTAACGCCAACAACACCGGCGACGCCGCTCGCCCCGGGGCCCGCCGCCCCGGCGCCCGCCGTCGCCGTCGCCGCCTCCTCAGTTGGACTCTCCGCCATCGCTGCTTCGCTTCCGGGACTGCTCGGCAGCACGTCCGCCGACCAGAGCGGCCGCTGCTCCCTCCCGCTCCCGCACCACCGAGAGCCGGGCCAGAGTGTCCCCACCCTCCGCTTCCACAGCCCGGGCGGCGCTGGCTCCGCCCACCCCCGCCCGACCAGCGAGAGGCGTTCTGCAAGAGCGTCCACCCACGGTCCTCCAGGGCGAGAGGGGGTGGGAACTGGGCCTGCGCGGGCCCCCGCCGTGCGGGGGTGGTGGGGGTGGTGGGGGTGGTGGGGAGCCTGTGAAGCGTGCCGGGACGCCCCGGGGCCGCCGAGAGCTCAGCGCCCGGCAGCGTCTTATTTTCCAGTGTGGCAGGGAGAGGAAGGGAGGGTCATATCCCCACCCTTAACGAGAGAGACCCCCCCCAGTCGCGTCGGTGGGTCCGGATTGGGGGATCGAGCTTCCTTAGGGGAGGCTCTTAATAGAGGGGGCAACTTGCTCAGGGCTCTTTCCTCTCTGGAAACCTCCGTAATTTATCCTCGCTCCCCGCACCGTCACCCACCGAGGGCAGACTGCCATTGCCCCCTGCCTGCAGCAGGACCAGGGGAAGGAATCTCAACCTGCGAGTGGAAAACCACCTCATTTCAGAGTTGATTTACATTTATGGAGGGGCTACTAGATGCCAGGCTCTGTTGCTAGGCGTTGCCATAGGGATAATGAAACAGACCTCGAGAAGCTTGGTAAAAGGAAGAAAATCAGGCCTCCTGACTCCAAGCTCAGCCTTTTTTTCTTCCCACAAGCCCTTGAATATACAGGAATCAAGGGGCTGTGAGTTTAAATCCTGGGAGGATTCCTTAAGGGCTTTCCAGGGATTTCTATGGACTAAGAAAAACTGCCTTCTAAAAAAGACTTTTCCTTTTTCTCCCTAGCAGAAACACAGGCTCATAATCATGTCCGGAAACTCTTGGCCAGATGTGTTTCAGAATTGAGAGGAACACCCCAGTAAGGTCTGGGGCAGCACCCAGTAACCAAACATTGATGTTTCGACAGCAGATTGTATGAATATTCATCCTCATTTGGATACATTTATGAATAGTCCTACCGAGCCAAGCAAATAGCCTCACTCGGTATTACACTTTTTGCCATCAAAATTGTTTTTTAGGAGAAAAGTCCAGCTTTCACTGCTTCCTGATTTTTCCAATAAGGGTAATCACCAACACTTGCTGAGGCTAAAAATTTGTTTCTTCAGCTGACATTTATTGAGTGCTTAGCATGTGCCAAGCACTTTGTATACTTTGTCTTATGTATTCCTTCCAACAACCCTAGGAAGTAAGTACTATTATTAGTGTATTCTGACAGATGGAAAAATAGGCTTACAGAGGTTCGTTCCATCACTTAACCTGGGTCACACTGAGAGCAAGCAACAGATTCAGGGATGTGAGCCAAATCTGTCTAACTCCAGAGAAAAAGTTCTAACTACTATGTGATAGTATCACAGCTTGGAGCTCTCCCACATTTACTGGATTTATTTCACGTGGTCCTTTGTTCCCTATTGCTTCCAACCCCTATCCCACAACACACACACACACACACACACAACACACACATGCACTTCCGGGGCTCTTGAGCAGGTATTGTCTGAATCCAGCAGAGGGCTTGGTGCAGCTTAGGTACTTAACTTGAAGCAAAAATGACTCAACGCAATGTTTTATACAGATTTCATGTTTTGTTGGTAAAGTGTTTTCTTTGTTTTTTCTTTTTTTAGGGTTTTATTTATTTATTCATGAGAGACAGAGAGGCAGACATAGGCAGAGGGGAAGCAGGCTCCCTGAGAGGAGCCCAATGTGGGACTCCATTCCAGGACTCAGGGATCACTACCTGAGCCAAAGGCAGCTGCTCAACCACTGAGCCACCCAGCTGCCCCTGTTGGTATAGCATTTTACCATTCTATAATAGTAAGGGTACAGAATATCTGTGAAGGGATATACAAAAAACTGGTAACAGTGGTTTCCTCTGGATGGTTCAATCGCTGACAAGGTGGGCCAAAGGGTATGTATGTACACGTGCCTTTTTTTAATTTTAAAAAATATTTTATTTATTCATAGAGACGCAGAGAGAGAGAGAAAGAGAGGCAAAGACAAAGGCAGAGGGAGAAGCAGGCTTGACGCAGAGAGCCTGACGTGGGACTCAATCCAGGGTCTCCAGGATCACGCCCTGGGCTGCAGGTGGCGCTAAACCGCTGTGCCACCGGGGCTGCCCTGTACATGTACCTTTTAAATATTGTACTACGCATCTATTGTCTATTAATACTAGGTTTTATTCATTTGTAAAGGATACTGGAATTTTGTTTAGATATTATTTATTTAGTAAGATGGTCAAAAGTATGCTCACTGATAACCTCACACAAAGAAAACATGACTCCATGGCTCCTCTATGGCTCCAGACTGCAGAGGCCCAAAGATGGCCCATGAGGGGAGAAGATTCCTCAGTGTGTTCCTCTCCTTACTATTGGATTATTGTTTTCAGTGGACAGAAAACAGTTACCTTGGATCCAGGAGAAAGAGGTTCCAGCTTTTGATCAGTACCACTCTGCAAATATCCTCTTTGAGCTTATTTCTGTATCCATAGAATGGTGATAATTCTTATCTCTAGGGTTTCTCTGAGGATTAAGAGAAACCTGAATCCTCCTGTGACAACAACACAAGTGTTTCGTAGAGTGGCAAGCACTGTCCAAATAATTGACATCCCATTTGCCCATATACCATCTCTCCTCCAGGCCTTTGCTCATACTTTCTCTAACTTGACTAGTCTTTCCCTCTACTATACCGGCAGGAGAGTCCTAGTTATTGGAACTCTGAGGCTCTGTTCCTCATCAGTAATATTGGTAAAATGATAGTAGTTTTAAAGAAGAGATAATGTGGGGAACCTGGGTGGCTCAATTAGTTAAGCAGCCAGCTCAGGTCTGATCATGGGGTCCTCGGACTGAGCCCTGTGTAGAGCTTGGCACTCAGCAGGGAGTCTGCTTGAGCATTCTCTCCCTCCCTCTGCTCCTTCCCCTGCCCATGTACACTGTCTCTCTTTAGGGTAAATAAATGAATCTTTTTTTAAATTTTATTTTATTTTATTTATTTATGATAGTCACAGTGAGAGAGAGAGAGAGAGGCAGAGACACAGGCAGAGAGAGAAGCAGGCTCCATGCACCGGGAGCCTGATGTGGGATTCGATCTTGGGTCTCCAGGATCGCGCCCTGGGCCAAAGGCAGGCGCCAAACCGCTGCGCCACCCAGGGATCCCAAATAAATGAATCTTTAAAAAAAAAAGAGATAATGTAATAATGAATGTGCACAATACCTGGCCAAAGTAAATTCTCAATAATTATTAACTCTTACTCATCTTCAAGGAAGGCTGAAATACTACTTTCTCTGCCAAACCTTAGCACCTCCAGGCGTATTATTATTATTATTATTATTATTACTACTACTACTATTAATTAGTCATTTAAAATTATTCCATCCTCTGGAGTAATTCATACCTTCATTGTAGCACATACTACTTTTTATTTTAATGGTTTGGTTACTTACCTGTCTAGCTACTACATGTGACATACTCTAGGGCAGAAAACATGGAGCACCTATCTTGCATCTCGAGGAACTGACCATTGAGTGCTGCAGACAGGGTGAACAGAACAGAAATGAGGCCATGGTAACCAGTTGCCCTTCCCCTGGCTATGGATCTCTAGAATTTCAGCTCCCCCTCCTCCTCCTCCTCAGATATGCCTTAAAAAAAAAAAAAAAGACTATTTATTTACTTGAAAGAGAGAGAACATGAGCAGGGAGGGAGGGGCAGAGAGAGAAGCGGGCTCCCCGCTGAGCTGGGCTGGATCTCAGGACCCAGAGATCACAACCTGAGATGCCTAACTGACTGAGCCACCCAAACGCATATGCTTATTTTTCTTTCCAAAGGGCTCAGCCAAGCCTGCTCGAAGAATTTGCAAGTCAAGGCCCGAAGGGCTGTAGAGCATAGCAGCTGCTTAAAGGACCAGCTCACCACCTCCCAAAGGAACTCCAGGAAGCCTCTAAGCCAAGGAAGAGGAAGGGCCAGGGAGAGGCTAGCAGCAGAATGTTAGAAGCTGGCATTACTTAGCCCAGTGTTTACTGACTTTTTCAAGGCAACACCTGGCTGCTTTTCTGGCAGCTTGGCTAGAGGGCAAGAGTATGCCTTCTGGAGCCTCTCCCATATCCTCTGGGGATGGATGACAGAACTAAGCCATCTTCCTACAGGAATTTGGATCCAAGACTCTCTCTCCCACACAGCACTGGACTGCCTGCTTTGAGCCATCTCTGGGTGCAACAAAGTTTGGTAGCACCTTGCTCATGGCAACAAGGCAAGTATCCTCCCCCAAGGACAGAGGCCAGCAAGTGCCTTAAAGTGCAGGTGACTACTATGCCTCAACTCTCTCTAAAAAGGGAAATTATGGGGTGCCTGGGTGGCTCAGTAGGTGAAGCTTTTGTCTTCGGCTCAGGCCATGATCCCAGGGTCTCGGGATCAAGCTCACATGGGGCTCCCTGCCGAGGGGGAAGTTTGCTTCTCCCTCTCCCTTTGCTTGCTGCTCTCTGCCAAATAAATAAAGAAATAAATTCTAAAAGCAAATAAAGAAAGAAATAAATCATGAAGATCTTTCTCCCCTTCCCCAAAGTTCTGTGTCCCTTAGAAGCTGTCCTTCCCCTACAGGGTCCAACCTTTTGTTCTGGGCTCAATGCCAGGGAGAGATGATGCATTCCCATCCAGGTCATAAATTCTGAACTAAAAGGAAAAATCAGAACTCGGACTGAGGGTTCGAGACTTCTGATTAAAGTCATAATACCTATATTAGATATATTTTTAAAAAAGAAAAAAAAAGATTTAGTTTTTTAAAGTTATCTCTATGCCCAATGTGGAGCTGAACTCACAACCCGGAGATCAAGTTGCATGCTCTTCCAGTTGAGCCAGCCAGGTACTCCCTTAAAGAATTTAGTAATACATGTGTTATTACATCTCTCTGAATACATTCCTTTTTTTTTTTTTTTTAAAGATTTTATTTATTCATGAGAGAAACAGGCAGAGGGAGAAG